ATTTTCAGGTGCTGCTCATCGTTCATGCTTGTGAAGGCTACGTGCGAATGTCGGTGTATCGAAATGGCAAACTTCTGAAGCGAAGCGAACCATTTTCGGGTTTCAGACGGTGGGCACCTTGGCAATTTTACAATTTAGCTTTACGCACTTTTCATTTTCAGGAAGGTTTTCAATGAAGAATTACTTCGGACAAAAAAAACAGATTAGAAATTTCCCATTTCAGGTTCCTCGTCGTGAATGTTCATTCGGGTCAACTTCGATTCCAAATCAGTAACGATGATGCGAAACCGAAAACGGTCCATCTATGGGCCAGTACACAGACCGATCAATCGCCATATCCGAAACTACCGGAAGACACAAGGTTTGTTGATACTGTTGCCTGGACAGGTGTTAATCACAGCACCGTTTCTTGCTCTTACATTCGGATGGGGAGTACCACAACGCAGGTCTCGAATCCAAGGAACCGGTATGTCCCTGAACCTGATTTGCCAGGGGTTCAATCCAAATTCGAGCTCTTTATCCCCAGAATAGAATCCATGAACTTGGAGGAATGGTACCCACCACAACATGGGAAAATTAATGCTCTTCCTAAAGTCTGTGTGCATCCTATTTTGTTGCTTACAAACGCTATACTGTTGGTATTTTGAGGGTCTTTGGAACTTATATGTAATCACCCCTTCATGTCTCATATTCCTGTTGTCGTACTCTACCTCTACACCAGGGTGTTCTGGCACAAACTGTCCCTCTAGGCGGCTGAGTGCAACCCATTTGGGTCACCAAACGATGGATAAGGATTCGCGTTTTGCTCTTGGGTATGCAACATTGAGGTCCCAAGAGGAAATTGCGAGATTCGGAAAGAAGAAGAATGATGAATCAGTTAAAGTTCAAGTAAAGTTCACTAGCCCCAAAGAGGACAATAATGGGCGCCCAGATACATCTGCTGATGTTTCCAGAGGATATATAGAGTCAGTTTGCTCGAGTAAAGCCGTAATGATTTCTCCTTGCGATTCTTTCTCTGATACTGAATCAGCTTTTTAAATATACTACTCGCTTCATGCTGGCATGATTATGTGTATGCCACATGAATAGGGTAGCATTGGCTTCCCCTATCAAGCCCCTCAAGGTAATGCCGTATGGAGTATGATGCACTCTCACAGCCAGGATTGAAATAGTCTGGGGATTAAATCCCGTATCTATACCTGAGGGCAGCAAAGGCTTCCCTCCATCTATTCGGGATCGACTAATTGGTAACGGACTCGCTGGGAGATTAAAAGGATTGGTTTCTACACCGGCTGGCAACTGTAAGTAATTGTAAATAATACAAGCCAATATGCGCATTTGAACTGCCCCTGCAATTTTAAATGGAACTCGAATGACGGAATTGAAGTCGAGAGAATTCAAGATTCGAGAGGCTAAGGATAGGATACCTCAGGTGGTTTCAGAAGACCTTTCAAGCGCAAGAGGAGAACAATACACTGAAGTTTAAAGGCCTTAAGGCAGAAAAATCCAGCAATAGGCGTATGCAGGCGACATACGGAACTACATATGTCATTCCACCTTACCAGGACCCTCAGCCTTCAACCCTTAAAAGGCTACTTGTGCTCACAAAGTGGGGCGACCCTCCTACACCAAGGGCAGGCCAACTTATAATCGAGTAATTACCCTTTCTGAGGCTACCCTAACGCTGGAGCTTCAAACACTGTAAAGTACTATTAGCTATCTCAAAGCTAAAGTTAACAAAATGCCACAAGGACATGCTTCAAACATTTGGCACAAGTTTCTTAAAAAACCTGCCCACTCGGTATTCCTTTACAATATGGTTTATGTGGCCAGTAAATCTCCGTAGTTTCAGTTACAGCTGTCGTTTTGTTTTTATTTCGTTTCCGATGTGAATCTAATTTTATCAACACGACCCCTTCTGCAAGAAGATCGAACGTTGTAAGATCGAATATAAGTTTAAAACGAGCTAATCCTTGCTGCAGTGCTGTTGCAGCTGCTCACCTCGAATGAGTCTTTCTGCATTGATGATTGCCTTAACGAAGAAAACAATTGGCAATCTCATTGTTGTAAACATGAATTATTCATTTGTTTTTCATTTATTGGTTACAGGTACTGAGTGGCTTTGAGATGTAAGGGAAGGGCTAAGTTAGAAAGGCAGGGCAGGGAAAAATAGCAGAGGGGGGCATTTCAGCAAAGCCGGTGAGTTAAATCACAGCCAGGAACAGCCAGGCATTTGTGCGGCCGGAGGGGCACCTCCAACTCCAACAAAGCAAATGACTTCTATATAATTACTGGGCACTTGGATAAAAGAATAAGAAATGAACTAGGGAGATTGAAGGTAGGAAGACCGTTCCCCGACTTACTACTGCCGAGTGCCGCAGCAGAATTAATAACTCGTGCCCCTGAGCTGTTGTCGAATGACTGATTCCCAGAGGCAAATGTCCACACTGATTCCGTTTTGGTGGGTATTGCTTCACTAGCTGCCCCTGAAGCCATAATGAAGCAGAAAAGAAATTATTTCCGCTCTGTCTGCTTTCATGATCTCACCTCAACTAGAGGCTGTTAGTGGAGGGAGGCAAGCCTTTATTCTGCGCTAGCGAAAAACCGAGCGAACCGTAGCCGAAATTAAAATTTCCACCCCGCTTAAATGAGGTGGAAATTCTATTTTCAGCCGCGGTTCGATCTGGTAAATGACGAAAATGATGACAATAATACAATAATAATAAAATGCTTACTAATACATTTGCCTGAGTACTTTGGTGCACCATGAGTGCAGCATACAAATAAATAAATAAATAAATTTCTCCCTACCATTATCGAAAATATATGTATTTGCGGAGAACTTAATTGATTATTAGTTGTTCCGTTTTCAGTGTGAAAGTCGTCCGGCGTTCATGCTCCACAGCAACATTGCAGTGGTTGCGATCGGCAGATGAGCATGCCGAATACTGTATTTACATGCGCCGTGAAAATGCCAACTATCTGGAGGAACTTGTTAGTAAGGTAAGAGACAGCATTTTGCCTATCGTTGACGTTGACTCGGCCGGGATGATGCTGCATTAATGCTTAAGCTCCCAGTTCATCAGCACCAACAATCCAAACAGTTGAATTAACAGCATCAACAGTATCCATCGAATGAGCCCTATTACAACTGGAGAAATTTCAAGATTTCTTCAATAGGGCTTTCGAGACCATTCCAAAGTCCACTCGAATGGGGTAGATGTAGGGTAGCGTCGGCTGGAGCAGCACTATCACATGCTTGATCCGGGAATCGACGATCAGATCGCTAACAGTTCATGCCAATCAAGTACTTCAGCATCAGGCTTGTCTATAAGCATAAAAGCACTGACTCTGGGTAGGCTCTGGACATTGTATAAGCCACATACGCATTTATACGCCAGCACGATCGTAGGAGGTTCCAAAGTCCTCACTCTCTCTCGTTTAAGCCTTGCTTTCTGTATCCGATGCTGTAAGTAATAGAGTTGAGTAAGTTCCTAAATAGTAATGTTGCTCATATTCTATCTAAGAGCCGACTTCAGCCCGTTTCCCTGCATCCTAATGCTGCTACCATCACCCTGACAAGCAACATCCCTCATTTTCTCTACTAATCGATCCGGGCCATTAGCCGTAAATGTGTTCCACGGACTTGAACAAACTTTCCATTTCGTAGCCCTGGTTGGAAAAGCCAGATAAGATCTATAAACACGTCGCATTTTAGGCAAGCAACCTCTGCGAAGGTGGCCTAGAGTCGTCAGAACTGGTTGGTTGCTATTCTCATCGTGGCCCAAGCCTAGAAACGATCCTGGCACAGGACGACTCAATCGGTCTTATCGAGACGACGGTAGTTGGCCTGGAACCAGCCAAAACGTATCGATTTGATCTGCTTGCTACACCTCTTCAACGCCCTCAGGCTCAATCGTTGCCATATCGAACGGTTTGGGCACGAACTGCGAATTCATGCTGAAGACATCATCATCGTTATCATTGTAAATACGTATTGATTACTGATAGTTGCAGTTGCACAGTTTTCTGTGTCTGTGCTAAACTCCGCCCACATGTGGGCGTTCTGATCCGTTATTGATCCATTTTGGAATCACGCTTCACTCAAGCAGATCATAATATTCAAAACATTTTCGAACTAACTATTTACATACATCCTATGCCAGTGGCTTCATCCTCTTCGTTCGATCTCGTTGTCTTTCATTCCTCATGTATGAAGTCGGTAAAACTTTATCTGTCATACCTAACGACATAAAGAACTGTTTCATAATTACAGGTACGGTACTTATAAGTAATTTGTCCTAGCGATTAGCTTTATAGTGATGTTTTTTAAAAATGAAGTCATTGTATTTTGGCTGAATTCTTCACACAGCTGATTTGGTGTTTTAATAAAGATTTTATCACAAACCACGTTTATACATAAGTGAATCGTCTACAACTCACAAAAATACAATAAACATATTTTATATTATACAATTAGCTAGACAAGAGATTCAATAAGGCACGCATAAGTAGTCATTAGGATGTGGATCTGAGAGGACAATGGCACAACATTATAAAGGCTTATATAGACAAATTTGACAACAGAAAGCATTTTAAGTGAATTTGGAATAAATAGAGCTCCCAATGCCTCAGTGCAAGACGTGCCGAGAATCTTCAAATCATGGTCCTAACCTCTCTGGAGTACGGTTGGACCAGATCCCGAACGAACTTGGATTGATCAGAACGTCTTTTCACATATGATTGTCAGTAAAGGATGCAGTGAATCCTCTGTACGGTATGGGACAGGAGACGCCATTGAGGTCGCGCTGCCAAAATTGGGTCACAGCATTCGAGGGGAGGGGGGGGGGGGGGG